GGCTCAACTGCCTTCTTTTACTATCATAAAAGTAGCTTATCCATCCATGTGATTCCACCCACTTCCCTTCATCTCTCCACTAACTGTCACCCACCATTTCTCAGCTGAAGTCTCCTAACCGGTCTTTTTGCTGCCCCTCTGTACCTCCCTCCCAGCACCCACCCTAAACCCCTCCATATTCCATACAGCCACTGAGGCCATCTTTTAAAAAGCCAGAGCCGTAAGCACTTACAACAGCACGTTGTTTAATTCTGTAATGTAGGGGTCCCCAGCTCCTTGATCGCTGACCGGTATGGGTAGGTGTCCTGTTAGGAGCCCAGCAGCACAGCAGGAGGTGAGCGCCCAGTGAGTGAGCTTTACCGCCTGAGCTCTGCCTGGGTATTAGACTCTTATAGGAGCCTGAACCCTATTGTGAACTGGGCATACGAGGAATCTAGGTTGCTGGCTCCTTATGAGAATCTAATCCCTGATGATCTGGCTTTAGATCTGTGCCGTTCAATGGTTTCATCCCACTTCTTATTTCCTAGTTTCACAACATTTCCCTCCTGACCCCCCCACCACACTCTCCTACTTCCCCCCTCCCCACCTTCCCACTCCCATCCTTGGAAAAATTGTCTTCCAGGAAACCTGTCCCTGATACCAAAAAGATTGGGGACCGCTGCTATAATGGCATCTTTATTGCTTTTAGAATAAAATCTAGCCTGCCTACCACGCCTTCAACACTTTGAAAGGTCTGGCCCCACAGATCTCTCCCTCTCCCCCTCACGTTTTCGGCTCCAGCCATACTTGCTGTCTGCTCTTTGAACAAGCCAAATTCACTCTCTCTCTCTTCATGTTCCCTCTGCCTAAATGTACTTGCTTCAAAATACATTCCCCCAGGTCCTCACACAGCTGTGACTTTTTAATGGTTCAAATCTCAGCTCACCTGTCACCACCTCCAAAAGGCATTCCTGGAGACCAGTAATGGAAAGAATCTTATTTTGTTGTGCAATGATATATTGCCTGATTCTTCTCCAATTAATATGTAAGCCCCATGAAAGCAGATATACTTGGTTTTTTTTTTTTCTTGCTATATTCCCTTTGCCTAGAATTCTGCTTGGCACATAGTAGATACTCAATAAATGCTCATGGATCAATACAAAATTCCATTTTAGGGGAGAGATACATAATTTCATAGTCATCCCAAAAGGTAGAGGTGCTGACAGTGTCGTCCCCAGATCCAAACTGGAATCTGTATTAGTTCCCCGTTGTTGCTCTTACAAATTAACACTTAGTGGCTTAAAACAACACAAACTCTCTTAGAGTTCTGGAGACTAGAAATTAGAAATCAATTCCACTGGACTAAATTCCCGATGTCATCAGACTTAGTCCCTTTTGGATGAATTCCCTGCTATGCCTTTTCTAGCTTCTGGGAGGCCCCTGCATTCCTTGGTTCATGGTTCTGTCCTAGAATCACTCTGACTTTTGGTTTCATCCTCATACCTACTTCCTGACTCCTCCTGCATCACTTTTATAAGCACCACTGTGACTGCATCCAGGCTGCCCAGACAACCTCTCCATCTCAGGATCATAAGGCAACACTCACAGGTTTGGGGATTCAGAGGTAGACGTATTTGGGGGTCATTATTCAGCTTACCACAGGTTTACCTCACTGATTTGTGTCATTCATTTCAGCCAGGCCTTCTCTTGAGAAAAGAAGGGCAGCATTCTTTTAGAAATTGAGGTCTCTAGGAACCACCTGGGTGCCTCCACTCCTCACCCGTCATGTAAGGAAAAGGGCTGTTTGTGCTTTTTCATACCTCCAGAGCCAGCTCCCATACCCCTCACCCCGAACCTGGCCTGTCCACAACCAGAGGAAGCAGGGAACAGCCTGCGGCTCTGGAACTCACCTGAGCCAAATTCCCCAACAGGAGCAGATGTTAGTATTCAGGACACGGTGTGAGGCTCACCTGCCTCGGCCTTGAGGCCATGTGGCTGCCAGTTGAAGGAGAGTTACAGGGGGGCTGCCTAGACCAGATCATGTGGCATACAGCCCCTGACAGGCCACGAGCCAGAGAATGTGTATGCCACCTGCAGGTCCCCCAGGCGTAACTGGAGCCTCAGGAGGTGTGTGCTCAGAGAGGTAGGTAGGACAGGTGATACCCCTCTGTTGGAGGATCTTCTCCCTTGGCTCATATTTTGCCCCTTTCTGAAACACACCAACCTCTCATTCTAATTCTTTATGTTCTGTTTGATCAATTTTTCAAAACTCTCTACCCCTTAGTTTCACTCTTTCCAAAACTACCTAAAACCACTTATCCCTCTAAGACCCTGTCATGACTGAGCAAGGAATATTCTTTACTCAGGAATGCAGGTAAATCCAAATGAGATTTGAGTTTTCGTCTGGATTTAGCATGGCTAGCTGTGTAATCTTGGGGGAGTTACTCCGCCTCTCTGAACCTGTCTTCTTCCCTGTGATGCGGGTTGCTGTGTTTCGTTGTTTGAGACAATGGAGGCAAAAGCGCCGAGCACAGTGTCTGACCCAAGAGAAGTGCTCAGCAGGTGACTGTTCTCAGCATTACTAAGATCGAGTCTCCTACCCATGTTTGAAAGTTAAGAGAGAAGAGTGTTTCAGGCTGGGCGTGGTGGCTCACACCTGCAATCCCAGCACTTTTGGAGGCCGAGGCAGGCAGATCACCTGAGGTTGGGAGTTCGAAACCAATCTGGCCAATGTGGTGAAACTCTGTCTCTACTAAAAATACAAAAATTAGCTGGGCCTAGTGGTGTGCACCTGTAATCCCAGCTACTCGGGAGGCTGAGGCAGGAGAATCACTTGGACTTGGGAGGTGGAGGTTGCAGTGAGCCAAGACTGAACCACTGCACTCCAGCCTGGGCAGCACAGCAAGACTCTGTATCAAAAAATAATAATAAAAATTTAAAAAAAAGAAAGAAGAGTATTTCAAGAAGGAAGGAAGTGCTGAGAGATTAAGATTCGTTCAAAAACAAATATTTATTGTGCACTGTCCTAGAGGTAAGATAAAGAGAAAAATATTGACTGAATTTGGTAATGTAGATGTCTTTGGTGAACTTGATGAGCAACACAGCAGGAAACTATGGCCATTGACAATTTTTTATACTCACAGATCCCAAGAGAAGGAAACACACCACACTGGGTAGAGGGGCTGAAAGTAGAGGAAGAGCCGCTGGGAAGCACCAGGGTCGGTCAGGAAGTAAAGAGAGCAAGGGAAAAGGCAGGAAAGAGCCTTTATTGCAGTTTCTGCAGGAAGGAATGGGAGAGGCAGGGTAAGCAGATTTAAGATTGGCTTAGTTTGAATAATTTCAGAGACCTCTGGGCCATAGAAGTTGTCTCTAGTTGTCTGGTACCTGGTCCCTTAGGGTGATTTAAAGCAGCGAGTAGTGACCCTGACTGTAAAAGCCCCATAAAGGAGGCCAAGGGTTGGGGGTATGTGCTCTGGACTGATTGATTTGCAGTCGGAAGGGCACATTCACAGATAAGTCGTTTTTGATCTCTAGTAATTATTGAGCCCTGGAAGGGGCAGTCCCTCCATGATCAGTAAGGCCCCAAGATGTAAAAGCATGAAATACAGAAACTAGAAAGCATGGTGATTACACTTATGAATGGATTCCAGCCCAAACTCCCTGTTTTTCTGCCCAAGTCTTTGTCAAGATAACTGTAGAAGCCACCTGGGGTCACCATCTTTAATCCTTTGAAGACATCCATACTAAGGTTTAGACAAGGCCTCATGAAAAAGGTATAGGATAAAAATAATTAGTTCAGGAAAAGAAGAACAGCAAATAAATGAAGAGATAACTTCCCTTTTCATCAAACAATTGCAAAAATGAACAACAATGAGATCGTTTCCACTTATCTTTTGGCAAAGATGAAAGCAAGTTAACAATGCTCACAACTGGTGAGTAGTGTTGGTGGGATTGTAAACCAATTTTTAATAATCTCTCTGGGATGCTGTTTGGGAAGAGGAGTCAATATCCCTACGGCTGTGCCAACTCTTTGACTCAGAATTTCCACTCCTTGGACATAATCCTGAGGAGATGATTCACCAGTGCCAGGGGTTACCCTACCACTGAGTGAGACAGGATGGAGAAATGTCCTGAAAAGATCAATGCAGTGATCATGGTGATATTTTCCTGTTCAGCCCAAGTTCACACATATTTTATTTTTCTTAACATGATGACAGCCACTCTCACGTCGATTTTTGGAATGCCATGTATGTGGAACTGGGTCTGAAGACATGGTTTTAACTCAGGCTCTGTCATTTTCTACCTCAGTGATTGCACAACAGCAAAGCGGAATTTTCAGGACTTCCATGAATGTAATCATTACTGTGCGCCTTTACTTGCATCATCTCCTTTGGCTGCTATCACTACTGTGGGAGATGGGTATTCTGATTTTGTAGACAAGGAAATTGACCTCTGGACCTTAGGAAGGTTAAGAAATGAGCCCACTGCCACACAATAAACACCAGATAAAGGAGTCAGACTGACTCCAAAGTCAGTCTATTTAATTGCAAATTTTTTCGCCTCCAAAGGGGCCTCCCAGTCCTCAGACCTGATTCTTTGTTTCACAGAGTGGGTCAGGTGCAGTGATGTCTGAACTATCTTCCGGCTCTGACTTTCAGCCATTCTCAGCTCCTCTCTTGCTTGTGTCTGGATTCTAAGGCTGATCTCATGAGAATGAGTGTTTCAAAAGGGTGCCCTCTGCAGGACAGGTGCACCTCCCAGCAGGGGCAATGAACACCTCTTTTGTCTTTATGGAGTCTGTCTTTAGATACTGGCAGTTGCCTGGCTCCTTGGGCCCACCCTGCCCTTGTCAGTGACCAGGAAGAAGCCCAGCACCTTGGCACTGCTTTCCCAGTTAATTTCTAACTAAGGAATCTTTTGCTGTGAGAAGGTGTGAAACAGTGACCTTGTACTTCCGGGCACAGGGGTGACCCCCCCCAATGTCAATCATTTGGGGTCTCTAGCTATTAGGAAAAAGAACAACAACGACCTCACAGCTTGGACAAGGCAAACATTATGCCAGGAGAAAAAAATATTCCACCCCCAAGAAAACAATATCAAAAAACAGAACTAGAGAATAATTGGAGGAAAGATTGCCAGCCTGGGGCAGATGTGTATATATAAGTATGAGGCACATCGTGACCAGACTAACTCTACCTTTCCGGCTTCAGGTAAGGCTATCTGTAGCTGTCTTCTCCTAGCCCAGCTTCTCCCCATTCTATTTGAGGGAGGTAGAAGAGGAAATTAAGACCTTGGACACTGGGGTCAGACCTGGATTTGAGTCATTATTCAATAATTATCATTATTGGCTTCATAATCTTTGGTAAGTTAGTTTTCCTCTCTTTGATCCTCTCTGTCCTAGTAACAGTGACTACTATTTTTTGACTTATTCCATGAATATTAGTTATGCACCTATTATGCGCCAGGTACCAGGGATACGACAATGAACAAGAACATTTGCTATGTGCTGGGCCCTGCTTGACATATGTCATCTTAGTTAATCCCAGTGACAAAACGCAGTGTTTTAGGTCGCAACTCATTAGTGGGTCATAAAATCATTCCATTTGTGGGTTATATCCAGAGACTTCTTTTAATTAAGTATAATAGAATATGTCAGTAAGCAATACACATTTGAGGAAAGCAGCATCTTTGTTCCCCTGTTTTCTCATCTGCAAACTAGGGTAATACTTATCTCGTAGGGTTGTGGTACGAATTAAATGACTTAATATAGTCAGGATAGTAAGGATATCAGTTGTCTTATAAAACTTTTATTTTATGTGTGTGTGCACATACACACAGAAGCGACTGCACTAGATCGTGACATAAAATGTTTTTCTTTTCTTTTTTTTTTTTTTTTTTTTTTGAGATGGAGTCTCGCATTGTCACCCAGGCAGGAGGGCAGTGGCGCAGTCTCAGCTCACTGCAACCTCTGCCTCTCAGATTCAAGCAATTCTCCTGCCTCAGCCTCCCGAGTAGCTGGGATTACAGGTGCCTACCACCACGCCCAGCTAATTTTTGTATTTTTATTGGAGATAGGGTTTCACCATGTTGGCCAGGCTGTTTTCAAACTTCTGACCTCGTGATCCACCCCCATCGGCCTCCCAAAGTGCTGGGATTACAGGTGTGAGCCACTGCACCTGGCGACATAAAATGTTTTTCTTGTAGCACATCATGGTCACAAAGATCTGGAAAACGTTGCTCTAGGACCCAATGTCTTTGAGCACATGGGCGTCTTTGAACTGAGCCGGGCCCATCATAGATATTCAGTTTGCGAAAGCAACAATCTCCATTTCACAGACAAAAACGGAGACTTAGTGAACTGAAATACCCAACGTCACAGTGTTAGTGATCGGTAAAACAGGGATTTGAATCCCGGTTGCAGGCTGCAGCTCCTCCATACTTAGCCAACATGCCACGCTATTTTGCTGCTGTAAACGCTGGGGTAATACTGGCATTCACCTTGGACTATTTTTCCAGTTAAAAGAAATAATAAGTGACCACTCCAGAAACATTAAAATGCATTGTGAGGGTTAATTACCTCTCAAGTTGCTTGTCTCAAGCCACTTCTTTACAATATGTGAGTTGCATGAAGGAGCAGATTTTGTTGTATTCATTGTTCTCCATGGTGACTAGCTCCCTGTTTGGCACAATGTAGCTACTCAATAGATGTTTGTTGAATGAATAAGTGATCTGGGCAAATTGAAAGTCTCCAGGCAGAGGATCAGTTAAAATCCAAAGCTGCCTTCAATAAAGTAGTGAGTTCAGAACAGAACACTATTCCATCTTGCTACTTCCTGCTCCAAATGACTCAGTCCTTCAAAACGTGCAATGTGCTGAGACTTGGGGAGCCAAGACTGGGATGTTGGTGAGGTAAGGATGGGGAATACAAGGGGGAAAGTGCCAGCAAAACAAGGGCTGCAGTGTTATGCAATTTTTTTAGTCCATATAAGTGACACCTCCTGGAGTTTATACTATACAATCAAAGCACTCCTCCCAGCTGTGGGGAGGAGAGTTAGATCATGCATTTGTCCCATCCATCTCTGTTCACAGGACACCAGACATCAGAGACAGAGAGAAAAACTCAAAGGGCCAACCCATCTTGCCTTTGGGCAGGTGTTCTCTAGACCAGAAGTAGCTGGGAAGAGCAGAAAGGATGGGACAGCCATCTCTGACTTGGGTGCTGTTGTTGGTGGTGGCCTCTTGGTTAATCACAACTGCAGCCACTGACTCCTCAGAAGCAAGTAAGTGAGAAGTGTGTGTGCATTGTATGTGTGTGTATGCACGTGCATGTGTGAATGTGGTGGGGAGCAGAGCAATGTAGCCCATGTCAGAGGCGATCTCAATCTTCCTATTGCACTTGGGACTTGCATTGTCTTCATTCTAAGTTCATTTCTTAGACCTCAGTATGCATAGGACTGACTTAGAAATTTTGCTGAAATGCAGATTCTGGTTCAGCAGATCTGCAGTGGGACCTGAGATGCTGAATTTTTAACAAGCTTCCAGGTGATGCTGGTACTGGGGTCCTTGGAGCACACATTGAAAAGCAAGGGGCTACAACATCTCTAAGGCCTGAAGACTCTGTATTGGAAGTCAAAAACATACTATATCACATAGGAGATTTGAGCCAATGCAGGAGGCTCCAAACACCTTCCCTTTCAACCTTAAGAGGTCACTCCATTGGGCTGATATTTGCTCTCACCCCACTTTCATTTTCTCCCTGGAGTACACTGGGGCATGATGAATACTATTGTGGTGTCCTGGTTAAAAGCACATATTTTGTGGTCCTGCCATCTGCGTCTGTATCCTGGTTCTACTTCTTACCAAAGGAGCAAGGGGCTGAATCCCTCTGAACCTCAGTTTCCTTGTCTTTAAAATAAGGATAAATAAAAAACTGACCTCACAAGGCTGTTGGGAAGTATTCAACAAGATAGTGAATGGAAAGTGCACATCCTATTGCCTGGCGTATAGTAACTGCTTAATAAACAACAGCTTATTTTTTTTTAACAGTTATTTTTCTTATGGAGGAGCAAAGTGCAACTGCCCTGCCTGGTGGGGTTGGAGGACTCCTCAGAGAGGAGTTGACACTGAGCAGGGTCCTGATGAAGGTTTTGCCAGCCAGGGAAGCAGATCTGGCAGAAAACATAAAATGTGCAAAGGCAGGGAGGGGCAACAGGTTCATTGTAAATCCTACCAGAGTACAGGAAATCTGTGCATCACTTTTCTGAATGTGGAAATGTGGCTATTTTAAAAGAAGACAGCTTGAAAACAAAAATCAGTGGGGGAGCTGGGCCTAATGGCACGTGCCTGTGGTCCTGGCTTTTTGGGAAGCTGAGGTAGGGTGCAGTGGTGGCAGAGGGAGTGGAGCACTTGAGCCCAGGAAGTGGAGGCTACAATGAGCTGTGGTCGCACCACTGCACTCCAGCCTGGGCGACAGAGCTAGACCCCCTCTCTAAAAAAAAATAAAGTTAAAAAATACAGTGAAATAAACACAGAATGAATGGTGGAAGCTTGACATCATCAGGGGAGTTTTGTTTCTTTCTTTCTTTCCTTGTTTTGGAGGGAGTCTGCTAGGGAATAAGTCTTAAATTATAATATGAGTTCCCTGGAGAATGAGGGAAGGATCTCTGGGTGGCCATGGGCCCAGCTGCCCAACACTCGGAGGCTGGGCTCTTCTGTCCACAGGATGGTGCTCTGAATGTCACAGCAATGCCACCTGCAAGGAGGATGAGGCCGCCACGACATGCACCTGTAAGGAGGGCTTCGCCGGCGACGGTCTAACCTGCGTGGACGTGGATGAGTGCGCCATTCCTGGGGCTCACAACTGCTCCGCCAACAGCCGCTGCGTAAACACGCCAGGCTCCTTCTCCTGCGTCTGCCACGAAGGCTTCCGCCTGTCGCCCGGGCTCGGCTGCACAGACGTGGATGAGTGCGCAGAGCCTGGGCTTAGCCACTGCCACGCCCTGGCCACGTGTGTCAATGTGGTGGGCAACTACTCGTGCGTATGCCCCGCGGGCTACTGGGGGGATGGATGGCACTGTGAGTGTTCTCCGGGCTCCTGCGGGCCGGGGCTGGACTGCGTGCCCGAGGGCGACACGCTCGTGTGCGCGGATCCGTGCCAGGCGCACCGCATCCTGGACGAGTACTGGCGCAGCACCGAGTACGGGGAGGGCTACTACTGCGACACGGACCTGCGCGGCTGGTACCGCTTCGTGGGCCAGGGCGGTGTGCGCCTGGCCGAGACCTGCGTGCCAGTCCTGCGCTGCAACACGGCCGCCCCCATGTGGCTCAACGGCTCGCATCCGTCCAGCGACCAGGGCATTGTAAGCCGCAAGGCCTGCGCGCACTGGAGCGGCCACTGCTGCCTGTGGGATGCGTCCATCCAGGTGAAGGCCTGTGCCGGCGGCTACTACGTCTACAACCTGACGGCGCCCCCCGAGTGTCACCTGGCGTACTGCACAGGTCAGCTGGGCGTCTCCTCGCAGTCCTCATCCCAGGCCTGGATAGGCACTGCAAAAGACGGGGGTGCGTCCTTATTGATTGTCTGTCTGTCCCTGTGACCCTGCAGACCCCAGCTCCGTGGAGGGGACGTGTGAGGAGTGCAGTTTAGACGAAGACTGCAAATCGAATAATGGCAGATGGCACTGCCAGTGCAAACAGGACTTCAACATCACTGGTGAGGCCAGTGGGGAGGAAGCGGGTTGTTGAGAAACCTGTCATTGACTGGGGAAGGGACGTATTCCTCCCCTGTGAGATTGGGGCCATATGGGTGTGACGCAGGGGCTACATATCCAACCTGAGTGAAAAGAGAAGATCCACTAATACCCATTAAAGCTGGCAAGAGGCTCTCTGGGGCTCCCTGAGTCTCCCTTTAGTTGACTTCAAAGCTCTCAGAGGTTTGGGAAACTCCCAACCTTCTTTCTGAGGCCCCACACAGCAGTGGGCACAGGCGTTGCTGCCATCTGGGAGCCAACCAGAACACAAGCCCGGTGACCAGTCCACCAATCAGCTCAGGCCTGGTGACCAGACCACCAATCAGCTCAGGACTCTGGGCCAGGCACAAGCCTCAGATTTCTCATAGGTACAATTATTGAAGATGAAAACAATATTTTCCAGACTTCAGTCATGATTTTAGTTACATCCAAGTGCCAACTTTACAATTGGCACCCTGGTTCACTTGCTTTATCCCAGTGTTATCTGTGCCATGACTTTTATTATTAAGTTGTTTTTCTTCTAATGGACTGAATCTCTTTTTTTTTTT